CAATTGCATTCTCTCTAGGTGAAGTCTCACACAACTCAACAACACTGACCATTAAGATCCGACACACACACACACACACACACACACACACACACACACACACACACACGTGAATATTAGTCCACTTCCCATAAACAATAGACATTCATCTTAGGTCGAGTTTGAAAAGTATATGTCTATAGCGAATCAAACCCATTAAGATAGAGATTAAATCAAAGATGACATTGATTAAGAGTTGTAAAAGAGATTTTATACAAAGATCCATAAATTTACATACAATCAAGATAAACTTACATACAAAACTCCAACAAATAGAGGGTACAGAAAGAAGAGAGAAGATGAACAAGAATCTCTCGGTTTGTCAACACCGATTGAAGCAAATCCACCTCTGGATCATCAAGATATACACTTTAATGATATTTCTAAGCTACTCTACTCACATAATGTGTTTGATGAAGTTAAGGTTAAAAGTTCCCAACAACATAACCTAAAAAATGCTGAAAAAGTGACTTAAATAAGCGCTATGAGGGCACTTAGCGCCATCAGCAAAATCAAGTTTCTTGTTTCCTTCATAACTTTCGAACCGTAACTCTGATTGGCGCACGATCGAAAGCATTGGAAAACTTATTTAATGCTCTATATGACCATGAAAAAATATCCTTGCTTGAATACATATAAAAATGAGATAAACTGAAATTAAAAAGAATTATATTTATTACAACGACGCTAAGCGCGATCTCACTTAAAGTACCCTTAAACCAACATAAACCGCGCTAAGTGCGGCCCTGCTCGCGCTAAGCACGGTAAGGAAAACCAAGTTTATTTGCTTCTTCCATCCACCTCCAGCACGCTAAAAGTAGCGGTAAGCGCAAATGTCTTGGCTTTTATTGGAAAAATGGCATTTTGAAGCATTCCTCTTGTCTCAAATGGGTCCATACTTCAACCATGCATTATTACCTATAAAAATAGATGAAAAACCATCAAACTCACTGATACGTACATGATAACGCAAAATATACATCAATATGTAATTTATACAAAAAGTACACAAAACGGGGGATTATTAACGGAAAACCAACGAATTAAACCAATAAGTGCCGATTATTCACACTAAAAATTAGTACAATTTAGCACTTATCAACATGCCCTTGATAACGAAAACAACTAAAGTCAAGCATAAAACGGTTAAGCGCTTAAAGATGCAAACCAAGATATTAGGGTTTGATGAACTTGACACTCTGATAATGGCAACCAAATGGAATATAAATCAAGTATCGTATCACAGTAAACTAAAGAAAGTATCTATAAGAATGAAGCATATCTAACAAGTCTTGAAATATATGAAAGTCTGTCTCGACACGTTTGAGTGAATATGTTGTAAAAGCATAAGGGCTTTTTTATAAAAATGCATGACTAAATTGAAGGAAAATTGCGATCTAAACGCAGCGGAAAACAAAAATTTCCTTTAGTGATCCTTACGAATGAGCATGGTCAGTGATAGAATCGTTACCTCTTTGTGGCGATTCAGATCTTTGATGCAGCGATCACAAGCGTTGATGAAGTGCAACGCCTCTACTCAGTCCACACGAACAGCTTCCGGTCACAGTGCTAGCTGCTTACGAACGGAATTATTTGAGTGAGAAAAGAGAATCAAAAACGAAATTGCATCAAGTGAAAGCTTCATCACAAGGGTTCCTTTTATAGACTCTCTTGTGGGTTGCGGGCTAAAACCCAATTCACATGATCCATAATAATATTATATATTATTATAATAACTATTATTATAATAAATATATTTATTTTATTATTATTTTATAACCATTATAAAATAACAATAATTATTATTATATTATCCGAATTTCTATTTTTCACTTAAGTGCACCGTACCTTACGGTGTTCCTTTTTGATTTCTCTATCTCTCATCAAACTGTCCTTATGTGTGTGACCCTGTAGGATTTCGTAACGTTGGTAATTATATTAAATTATATATTTAACATAATAAACAGTAAGCGGTATCTAGCAACACATTACTGCTACCCAAGTCACGAAAATGTCATGTGATCTGACAAAACCTTTTTCGTGATAATATATGTTTGTACAATTACCCTTTTGCCCATATGTCTATATTGAACACAAGGCATACACTGTGTCATCCTTGTCCAGTTCAATATTGGGCCCTTAGACATTTCTCCTGTTATGCAGGATTGGCAAATTCCATCTAGGACACTCATGTCCCTCAGCATGCTTCGTGGAGTGCCCATCAACTGTCTTTATGATCATCCAGTTACGGATAATGTTTGATCAGCAATAAAGCACCCGACTCTACATCTAGGGTCCATAGTGGTTTCAGGTCGAAGGGTGGTAATACACCATTATCACCATGAGAATAACTTATGACACTTTGCATAACATACTATGTAGTATTCTCATAGCGGGTCAATCCGGTATAAATATTACTCCTAATATTTATACCTATGTCAAGACTTGATAACTCTTTATCCATGATCCATGAGATGTGATCATCAGTCTATCTTCATAATAGTCTCAATGCTTTTAATGTTATCCCACTTTGCAATAAAGCTTGACTACGGATATTTTAAGAATAATGTCTTTATGTTTAATGGGATCTCATGATTAAGTCACACTTAACATTTCATTAAACAGACTAACTATTCTAGGGACTTTATTATTCTGAAAGACAAACATAATAAAGAAATGCCTTTTATTATTAAACGAATAATCCGATACAAGTACCAAAAAAATATTGGCCTCTAGGGCTTACACCAACATAAATCACACATACACATACAAACACATACATAAACAAGTTTTGAAACTTATTTTCTCAAAAAATCATTTCTAAAAATCGCCTTGAAATAAATTAAAAGCTCACCTATTAAGGAGGAACTTCGAAAAATCGCCTGCACAGAGGATGATTGTACATTTTTTCTATGGGATGGCTTATGCCTTTATATTAAAATATAATATATTTTGCAGCTTCCAAAAAAAAAAAAAAACTTAATAAACCCAAGGCATCAATGGTTTTAATGATTTTTAGATTTTAAGTGATATGTTGAGTTATTCTAGATAATTAAAATTCTGAAATATTTTAGTAGTGTTTTCGAGGATATTTTATTTTTAATTAAATAAAACGAATTATCATATACAACATTACATGAAAGTCACGTCAAATTTTAAAAAAAAAAAAGTGATATTTATAATAATAGTTTATGTGTCAATAACATTGCATGTCCTAAAAACTTATGAGCAGTTAGGGGTCAAAATAAAGACAAGAAATTATAGTTTTTTCTTCATATTTGACCCAAATAATAGAGGGGAATTAAATATTAAATCTTAAATTATTTATGTTTTCTTTTTCAAACAATAAAATATTTATTTTAATATATATATATATATATATATATATATATATATATATATATATATATATATATATATATATATATATATATATATATATATATATATATATATATATATATATATATATATATATATATATATATATATATTCTCAAGTTCAATATCACTAATGTGAATAAATTAAACAATCATATAAATAATTAATTTTTTAGAAAAAAAATAAACATGTATTTTATTTATTTATTAAATATGTCTGTTTGATTTAATTATATTAACGGTTGTAATTTGGTGTAAGTCTTTTAGTCTTATATCTGATATTAAATGATTCTGACTTTTATATATATATATATATATATATATATATATATATATATATATATATATATATATATATATATATATATATATATATATATATATATATATATATATATATATATATATATATATATATATATATATATATATATAAAAGTGAAGATCAATTTTTTTTAAGAGTATATTTTTTTAATTTATTTTAAATTATAGTCTTTGAATTGAATTTAATTTGATGATTAGATTATATTTAATTCAAAGATTATAATTAAGAGTAACTTTGAACTCTTGAAATAAATTACATAAATAAAAAAATTACATTTCTGACTTATATATATATATATATATATATATATATATATATATATATATATATATATATATATATATATATATATATATATATATATATATATATATATATATATATATATATAATGCCGGATCCAGAATTATCTTTTGGTGGGGGCTGAAAAATATTGTATATAAAATAATTTCTTCTGTAATTTTAAAATATCTTTAAAATACATGACAGCTTACAATTCTATTTATGAGATTTTGTATTTTGATTTTTCTTTTAAATTCTCCTGCGCACTAAAATATTAATTTTGATATTAGAAAAACATATCATCAATGCAATAAATCATACATTAACTTTCAAAATGAAATATAAGCAAAATTGCTATTTAAGGTTTTGTATAGACTATTTTCTAAATAAAAACTAACTATACGAAAATTGAAAAAAGCACATAGATGTAGTTAATGAAAATATAGTTTTATTTTATATATTACAATAGAATGATTGATGGTTCAAACTTTAAATACAAGTTTTATTATAACTCTTCTTTTACCCATTTATTCCATTGCTTTCTCCGTTGCAAGCTACGTATGAATTACGTAACTTTTCATTTTAATAATAACAAAATTATTCTCCTAAATTCTAATGATTCCTTTGTTTTTTTCTTACCTTAAAACAACATCAACAATTAAATAGTAAAAGAAAATGAAACAAGAAAGAGATTCGTAAAGGAATAAATACAAATAATAAGACAAATTAAGGAAGGAAACATTCCTGCCTACTTTTACCAGGTTGTCACTTTTCCACTATTTAACTTAGAAAATTGTGTTTACACAAAAAAAATGTTGCTTTTGTTTTCATTTCTAGAATACACATGCAATGCAATTTAGTAGAAACTCTTGGATCAAATAAAAGAGAATAAAAAAAATCTTATAATGTTTTTTATCTTAAATTTTTGTTTTCACTTAGTTTCTACTCTTGTCTTGTGCTAGGTGCATGATTATCAATCATTGGTTTCACTCCACATAGTAGAAAGATATTTGTGGCACCCACCACAACAGCTACCATTCTTAACATACAAATCTGCCTCTGCCCTTTTGGTTCTTCTTAAACTAGACACTTTCTTCAAAGTGGTCCCATCACTACTCTTTACATTGTGTCTATACTCAAGTGTCACTTGTTCAAATACTTCAACCTCAAACATGTTTAGCTTTAGTTTGGGATTCATGTGATCCCTAACAAATGCAAATGGTAATTGATCTCTTGGATTGAATGCTTCTAACTCATTGAACATTAGACAAGAAAATAGGTTGTTTCTTATTCCATGTTTTCTCAATATCAATGCACTGTCAGGTACATCTGTAAAAAAAACGATATCGTTAATAATTTTAAAAAATAGATAAATTGAATGTAAACAAATGTATTATTATCCGAAGTTGGATACGTTTTTATTCAGAGATGTCAGTGCTACATGAATGTGTTATCATTTAAAGCTGGATATGCCTTTGTTTACAGATGTCGGTGCTACATAGACGTGCCAAGACTTGAAACTAGATACATTGTTATTTAGAGGTGTCTGTGCTACATAGATATGTAATCAGCTGAAACTAGGTGTTACATGATATTTTAAATTCTCAAACAACTTTTAAGATGCATGGTTTTATATCTTCATTTATGTGCCAAAATTTGAAAGAGGAGTTACCTGATGCATAGGGTTTCTTGCTAGGACTCCATGGTTGCAATCCATTTTCACAATAAGTCTCCATTTGCATCTTCAAAGCATTAACATCCCACCATTTCTTCCACCTAGCAGTAGCCATAGCTTCTTCCATTGTATGAACATAAAAAGGGTGTTTTGAAATAGCCATATCCACATTCTCATTCACAACAAGTGAATGAATCAACAACAAAGGATCAACCATGAGTTGCAACTTTGCATCTATCCAAATGCTGAATTGTGAATTAGGAAAAAGCCTATGAACCAAATACTTCGGTATAATCCCATTCATTGCTGGATTCTCATACAAATCATCTTTTGCAACTTTCACAATCCTCCACACACCTATCTTGTATTCATCTGATTTTATTGAAATCAACCCATGATGTTCTAAACCTTTGAGAGTAATATCGTCGACGAACATGACGAAACAAACCATTTCTAATGTCTTGGATCCAAGTCCCTTTGGTTGTCTTATTTTGTCATGATCATTGAAAATTGCTGAAACTACCACAACATTATCACACTTTTCAATTGCAATTTGATCTGCATTACAACACAATATACAACATAAACAAATTAGATTTTAAATAACGGCCGCAGTCGCATTGTGGTCTCATAAAAGCTTTAGTAATTTTGGTTGATACATGTCTTGATTGTGGTCGTCCCAGTGTAAATTAATCATAATTTATTGTTTAACACGAAAGCAAGTACATTTCAATATCGTTTTGTTGAAGTTGTTTTCACAGAAACGGACCTATTTTAAAACCTTATCAACTATCATGATTGAATTGAGATCTAAATAAGTGATTCATGAAAAACTAACCAGAATTACTGATTGGAAATTCCTTGAGAAATCCACATGGAACTTCAATGCTATCATTTTGATGATTAAAATAAGAAAACCTTGTAAGAGTACTAAGATTTCCACCAAAACTATCAGCATTACCCTTCATATACCGTAAAACACCATCATAACCACGAGAATTCTTCCGAAAATTCTCGATTTCATCGACAACAACCCAATAATCTGAATTCAAAAACAACAACCCATTAACAAAAAGTTATGATCTTGATCATGAAAACATAAAGGGTCGTTGTAAATTACCTGAAAAGAAAACAGGGGAAGAACACGTGGAACGAGTGGTTGAAACAGCGTATTTGTGTTCACCATAGGAGGAAGGGTAATTGAAGAGAGAATTGAGAATTGGATCTGAAGGGGATGATCGGAAGAAACATTTGGATTGAGAGAGAGTGGTGTAAAGAGCAAGAAAGAGAGTGGTGAAGAGGTAGAAAAGTGAAAAACAGAGGAGTTTTGATTTGAGAATGAGAGGTTTGGAAGTTGTTATTAGCTTCACCATAATAATGATATAATAAAAAAGTGATTATTTTTTGGGATTTGTGTGCCATGAAATTTGTTGGGATTTCACTTTTTGTGAAGTGGAAAATTTATTTTGGGTATTTGTTGTTGAATGAGCCATAATAACTAATGAGAGACGGTTACTTGTCATTTTCATTACCGATATAAAATTTCATGTGAGCAACTTTATAAAAAAACTATAGTATAACTTTCTTTTGTAAAAGACTAAAGATTATAGTACCATATAAAATTTTAGATGAAAATGTAATATTATAATAGAAAGAATATAATTGCTAAAGACACTTAAGGCTATATTAAATTGGTGAAAAATAACGGAATAATGGAATATAGCGGAGTGGAATAAAAGGAAATAGAATGGAATATAAATTTTATTTTATTGTTTAATTGTTTTATTAAAAATATCTCATTCTATCACTTACATTCTAAATTGATGGAACAAAACATGGGGATTTAAATGGAATGGAATGGAATGAAATGAATTCTATTATGTTTTATTCCATTCCATTATTTATTTGCATTCCAAATAATAGAATCACATTAGTTATCACTCTATTCCATTTCATCTCATACCACCAATTCAAACATACCTTAAGTAACAATTATGTTTTTATTTTGGAAAAGCAATTGGAATTAAACGGAATACAAGAGGTATTCGCCCGAAAACAGAAACAACAAAATTATAGGAAATTACTCTCCAACTCCACACTAACTACAAACCTAAAAACGATGAGGATTTATAGAGAAAGCTAAGAAATTGGAGTTGGAAGGAGCAATATCTCTAAAAAACAACCATTTCCACGACAAGAATTTGATTTCCCAACAAATATTTATAAAACTAATAGATTCATTTCTAAAAATAAAGTTATTTCTAACCCTCCACAAACACTAGCATATCGCTATCCAACTGTAACCCAACCTACCAGACTCGACACTATTCCTACCAACCGTAACCCAACCTACCAGACTCGACACTATTCCTACCAACCTCTAACCAAGAAATATAGTACGTCCAAACACATCTTGCAAACGAAGTGTCGCAGCCTAACCATTCACCAATATAATTCCAAATTGAAATCGAGAACGAGCAACTAAACAACAAGTGATGCAAGTCTTCTTCCCCACTTCTGCAGAAAGAACAATTGAGATCAGAAAAATTCATACCACGTTTCGTTAAGTTATCCTTCGTAGGCAATCTATTCCAAAAACGTTTTCAAGCAAAAGTTTTGATTTTAGGGGGAATCCTCATCTTCCATAATAAATTGAATGACAAAACTTGATGGGGATGAATCACAACCTGTTCTGAAACCGAAACGAGCTTGTTGTACAGGTCACGAACCACGAAAACCTTGTTATCTCCCAGTCTCCAAGTATCCCCTGTCAGTAGAATCTAAAACTGGCTCACATTCCTGTAAAATGTTCTTCAACTGCTCTAGTTGATGAGTTTCCTCCGTAGGTAAATTCACAGGAAAGCTCAAGTCTCCCTAACACCACTCTCCATCTTAAAAATCACCCATGGATCTCACAACTTTCTTCTTAGCAGACCTTCTACCAAACAATAAATCAAAAGTAACAGCCAATGGAGTGATAGATATCCAATGAGCAGACTAGAATGGTATTGACTTTCCTTCAACCAAAAAGAAAGAAACTAAACCTGCAAAAGTAAAAGAAGTAATAGAAGAATTTTCCCACACACTGGTGAGGTCCTTCCACCAAACTGAAGAGAATTTCAACGATCTTCGACTCTCTCCCAAAATCTTTTCTTCCATAAAACCATATCTACCTTTCAACACCTTCTTCCACACATCATTCTTCTCTTCCAATATCTTCAACTTCCATTTCGGTAGAAGAGCTACGTTGAATGCTAACAGGTCCATGATTCCCAAACCACCTTTTTCTTTAGGACTGCGCACAACCTCCCATCTCATCCAATAGATGTTTGAGCTATTGCATGGATCTTGTAAAAAGACATCCAGAATATTAGGAGACTAGATAAAGTAGAATTTATCAGAGTGACTCGGCCTGCCATTAAAAGCCACTTCCCTTGCCAGCTAGCGAGTTTACCGTTGAAAGTATTAAATAAGAAGTCCCAAATTTAATCCTTCTGGGGTTGCATCCTCCGTGAATGCCAAGAAAATGAAAGGAAGGTTGACCGATCCTGCAAGCTAAAAACAAGGAAGCTGCTTCAAGACAGTGGGGACTCACATTGATACCCATCATCCTACTCTTGTGAAAGTTAAATTTTAATCTCGAAACGAGTTTAAAACTTCTAAGAATAGTTTTAATACTCCAAAGGTTCATCCATTTGCCTTTTCCAATGATAAGAGTATCATCAGTGAATTGAATGATATCTACCCGGAGATTCGAAAAAACTTCAAAACCCTTAAAAGAGCCACAAACAACAACATCATTCAATAACAAAGACAAACCTTCAACAACAAGAACAAATAAGAAAGAGGATAGAGGGTCTCCCTGACGAAGTCCCCGTTCCGCAGCAAAGTCCTTTGTAGGACTAAAATTCACTAAAATAGAAAGATAGCTATTGAAACTAAAAGCTTCCATGCATTTTGTCCATCTTTTGACACATGCAAGTAATGCCTTTAGAAACAGTTATCGCTATTTATCACCATATTTTGGTTGGTTTTCAGCAGTTATATTATTGAAGACGCATTGGGGCAAGTTGATGCATGAAAGCCTAAGTAGTGGGATACATGTTAGATTTATAGGATTTGACCGTGGTCGACGGTTTCCTTTGCAATTGTATATAATTCAATTTTATTTATTGTAATCAAAGTCACAATTTCTCACTAGTTACTCTTTAGAACCAAAGTACCCAACTCACAGAGGAAAAATGGTTTGTGAGACATGTGAGTCTGCCTCCATCATTTAAACTTTCTGCAAATCTTTTTGATCCAAAGCATTTTACAATAAATGTCATTTACTACATTTACTTTATTCTTCACTTACAACCTTTATTCAAAGTATATCTTCTGGATTCAATTTGTCGATATCCAAACGTTTAAATCCAAGTCGCACATATTTATCTTTGCACAAATTGTCTTTGAGAATTTTCAAATTAATCTTTTAACTGGACTAAACTCATGATTGTTTACTTAAAACACCAATAAAAATATTGGTACGTCTAGTGGGACCCTTTTGTGTAAAGAGTTTAATTTTTACCAAAAAAAATTGTCTCTTTTGTCCAAAAATTTTGTTCTTCGTTTGTGAAATGGCTTTGGTTATCGAGTGTGTATGCATCTGAGGAGTGGCAAGTCTCTTCTTGAAATCACACGTCCATCGTCTAAAAATTTCCCTCTTCCCAGAACAATACTTCGAAATTAGAAGAATAACCAGTCGAATCGACAACGAGCAATGTAGGAACTTCAACTTCTGTTAGAGAAATGCCTAATGTTATAAGTCAGATAACATTGTCGACTGTATCACCAAAATTGGTACTATCCTTACCATAAGTAACAACAAGCGTGTCCACTTCCCCTAGTGCTATGCAAAATGTGATAGGAGACCAAATGCCTCCTTTTCCCTTGAGTTTCACATTACCTCAAAATGGTATGAAATAACCTTATAACATGCCAACTGTGATGATGGAAAGCCTGCACCCTAGTGCATCAATGTATGTAGATAATACAATGGCTACTGCATCACCTGTAAATCCATACTTCGCATCAGGGTCTGCGATTAACAACCTTGGTCGAATGGCATAACCACTAAGAGGGTTATTGTATATTCCTCCAGTGATGCCATCCTTAACCAATAAATCTCTCCAGTATATAAGATAACAAATGGACGAGAGTAATAAAAAAATTGTTAACATGTTGGCGCAACAAATACGCACATAATTCAATCCTTTAATTTAGAGCACGAACCACAGTTACCAACAATTAGCATAACAAATGGGTGGTTTCTTTGGTGATCCTCCAACACCTATTTAGCAGGTGCCTGATAACCAAATACCACAGCAGGCGATACATGTTAAACTACCCATACCAAGGATATTTGAGGGAAACGCGTGCCAAAATGGCCCTGAGGTAATAATGGTACATAAGAACCAAGATGTTGACCAAGTTGTTAAAAATTCCCAGCAAAACTATTTTGCGGGACAAAATAATATAACTAATATGGTCGAACAAATTTTGACCTAGAATGGCCTCAATGTTGGTCAACATAGGCCAAAATTTATCTCTTCACTATCTGATTATGTGTTACGGACTGAATTACGAAGGGGTTGGAAAATCCCCAAGTTTACTAAGTTTATAGGGGATACTAATGAATCGACTATCAAACATGTGGTGTGGTATCAATCAAAGGCAAGAGACCTTACTCATAATGAGATTTTAAAGATGAAATTATTTCCAAATTCTCTCATAAAAACTACTTTAACATGGCTTACCACCTTACTCCCACATTTCATATGCAGTTGGAACCAATTACAAAGGGTATTCCATGAACAATTTTACATGAGAAAATCTAAGACTAGCCTCAAAGAGTTGGCTAGTGTGAGGCACAAGGTGGTCGAATCAATAGATGAATACTTAAACAGGTTCAAGATATTGAAAGAAACGTGCTTCACTCAACTGCATGAGCATGAATTAGTCGAACTGGACACAAAAGGTCTAAATTATTCCATTAGGAAGAAATTAGACACCAAGTATTTAAGAAACATGGCCTAGTTAGCATACAAGGTTTGACAAGTCGAACGCAAGCAAATACATAAAAGAAGTAGCTTACGTTGAAATAAAGGAAATTGACCAAATATCTGATATTGATTATGTCAAAGAAAATGAGATTAACCTGACAGAGTTAAAGCCAAGGTCACCTTACATTTATAAGTGGTTGAAACCTTCAAGCGGGAAGAACCCGCCGAGTCAAGCAAAAAGGAGAAATTTGTCACAAAAATATACACATTTGATGTAACTAAGTGTGATAAAATTTTAAGATTATAAGATTATGCTCTGCCTTTATTGC